CAAGCTCAGTAACGAGGCAATAGCCGAAGCTTCACCACATACGTGAACTTCCTTTGCACAGAGACCAAGCAAGGCTTGGGTCCAGGCCCAGCCTCTCATTGGATCGCGGATCATCTGTATCTCGTCAATTATGGCTACATCGTCTGTTGCAAAATACACAAAATATCAACTACATTATATTTGTAGGGTATTTACAAATTAAAACAATACACACTGTACAGTAGTCCCCCGTATCTGCAGATGATACGTTTCAAGACCTATCGTGGATACCCGACACTGTGGATAGTGATGAACCCTATATATAAGTCGCTTTTAAACCATACCCCGTGTCATTACGATTTCGTGAGTCAGTTAAGTCGCTTTTCATTTACATACATCCCTATGATAACTGATAAATTATGCACAATAAGTGGAGAAGTGTCAGTTTTTCACTGATGGGAAGCACTTCACAGCTTCTCTTAGGATTTTGAAGAACTCCCACCATCGCTGCTTTTGCACTTTGGGACATTATTAAGCAAAATTAAGGGCTATTTTCGGGCCAGGGCAAACCGAGGGTAACTGCAACAGCAAAAACTGGACCCACAGATACAGCGGTCTTACTGTATTGTGAGGATAAAGAATAAAAAAGCACAATAGAGTGACTGGAAAAATACACAAATAACCCGCACATAGGAGAAAGTAACTTATGACTACGTTTCAGTCCAATGTGGACCAAAACGTCGGCATGAGTTACCTTCTCCTATGTGCAGGTTGTGCACTGTGAGGATAACTAAGATGAGAGAATGAACCAAAAACAATGGAAGTTTAAAAGACAAGAAAATAAGGATCAGAGTCACAGGGGACACGAAGATAGAAAAAATACTTCTTATCAGATTATTCATGGGAGGAAAATTATGCATGTACAGGTAGTCTTCGACTTACAATGGGGTTACGGTCCAATGAACCCATTGTAGGTCGAAAATATCATATGTCAAGTATGAATCTTCTTTTAACGCACCAGCCATATCCCACCGAGGCGGGGGCGGCCCAAAAAGAAAAATGAAAATTTCTCCTTTTAAATTTAGTAATGTATACAGGAGACGGGGTTACTAGCCCCTTGCTCCCGGCATTTTAGTTGCCTCTTACGACACGCATGGTTTATGGAGGAAGAATTTTATTCCATGCCCCCATGTAGAAAACAAATAATTACTGTAACTATCTATCAGTATTGAAGAGTAAATAAATGACTACAAGTTAAGGACTCGTCACCTTCATGTTGGGTAATAATCTTAAGTTTCACCTCCAAAGTAATTGTTGCCACACCATTGTAAAGTCAAAATCTGGTAAGTCGACATCGTAAGTTGAGGCGTACCTCTATATTCCTCTGTGTCAGGGCTGAGGTCTACCTCAAGTTTCCCTGGAGTCAAATTCAAGTGTCAGTGCCCTTGTGGCCCTGTCCAAGACTAGGCCTCATTAAACTTCATATTGTTTTCTGAGGCCTTTTTGAAAACTTGGTTAATATCAGCTTGGGATTTCTGTGGATGGATGACACTCATGCAAATTCTAGTACTGTCAGCAAAAGAAGACACAGTGCTATGGCTTACAGTCAACCAGACTGCTGATGCTAGTTACATGCTGTAAAACATATGAACCACAGTCCAGCTAATCAGGAAAGTCATCACGAGAAAGGGGAACTTGAGCCTAAAAAAATGAGTATACAGGCAGATTCTCATTTACTTTAAACTTGGTAAGATGGAAACAATTTTTTAAGAAAAAGAACAAGATTTAGCAATTGATAGAAGCAGGGAGTGATGAATGTTATAACAAGGAGGCTGGAGGCTGTGGAGGAGGAGGCTGGAGGCTGTGGAGATGTCATGTCTGAGGACATGTATGTGGAATATATGGAGAGAATCCGTAGCTTGGAGATTAGGTGTTGGGTTACTAAAAGAAATTATCCAGAGTGCTGAGAGGGGTTATGAGGTGGTGCTGAGAGAGGTTGTTGAGGTGGTTCAGACATTTAGAGAGGATGGGGGAAAAAGAGGATGACTTGAAGAGTGTATAAATCTGTAGGAGGGAAGGCGGGGTAGGGGCTGTCGTAGGAAAGGATGAGCGGGGGGGGGGGCAAAGGAGGTTTTGTGTGCAAGGGGCTTGGACATCCAGCAGGTGCAGGATCATGTTAGATAAGAGTAAGTGGAGGCAAATGGTTTTTGGGACTTTACAAGCTGTTAGAGTGTAAGCAAAGTAACATTTATAAAAGGATTCAGGGAAACCGGTTAGGCAGACTTGAGCCCTGGAGGTGGAAAGTACAGTGCCTGCACGCTGAAGAATGGGTAAGGACATTTGAAGTTTTGAACTGTAATATTGGCATCCTTCTGGCAAGACAGTGATGGAGTGAGTGATGATGAAAGTGTTTCTTCTTCTTCTGAGTCACCTTACATCGATGTGAAACGACCAGTGTTTAAAAAAGAAAATTAGGAAGAGAAATAACTTACAAGGTTACTAAGAGAAGCCAAATTTTCCCCGTACAAGCCGTGTTTGGCTGTTAAGTCAGCATTACTAAACTTCCTCTCTTCTCCAGTCACCAGGTCACATGGAGTACCCTAAAAGTAAACAAATAATATAGTATACATATATCAAGTGCATTATTGCAATTAACCCCTTTAAAATGTTACACTTATTATTTTTTTATTATTATTATTATTATTATTATTTATTATTTTATAACCAAAAAGAAGCGCTAAACCACAAGGGCTATACAGCCACTTGTTGATTGATGTGTGTATACTGCCACACACGTCGATCAACGAGTGTATTTACTGTTTTCATATATTGATCAAGGTTTACATTCTCACTGCCTCAATTTAGCACCTTTCCAGCAGTGTGATAACATGACAATAAGATGACTCTGACTACAACATCTCCACCAGCCATTGAACCCACTTCAGGGCTCAAGTCTGATAATGATGATGATGATGATTTGCTATTATTACTATTAATATTATTATTATTACTATTATATTATTATATTATATTATATTATTATATTATATTATTATTTTATATATATTTTTTTTTTTCAACAAGTACAATAATGTTGAAAGGGTAACTATGGCAGGAAAAGAGGGACTATAAATGTATTAATTCAAGGATTATGTGGAGTAAAATAAAGATTGGATGTGAAAAGTGGGTTATAGTAAGTGTGTATGCACCTGGAGAAGAGAGAAGTGTAGAGGAGAGAGAGAGATTCTGGGAAATGTTGAGTGAATGCGTGGGGAGTTTTGAATCAAGTGTGAGAGTAATGGTGGTTGGGGATTTCAATGCTCAAGTGGGTAAAAATGTTATGGAGGGAGTAGTAGGTAAATTTGGGGTGCCAGGGGTAAATGTAAATGGGGAGCCTTTAATTGAGCTATGTGTAGAAAGAAATTTGGTAATAAGTAATACATATTTTATGAAAAAGAGGATAAATAAATATACAAGGTATGATGTAGCACGTAATGAAAGTAGTTTATTAGATTATGTATTGGTGGATAAAAGGTTGATGGGTAGGCTCCAGGATGTACATGTTTATAGAGGGGCAACTGATATATCGGATCATTATTTAGTTGTAGCTACAGTTAGAGTAAGAGGTAGATGGGAAAAGAGGAAGGTGGCAACAACAAGTAAGAGGGAGGTGAAAGTGTATAAACTAAGGGAGGAGGAAGTTCGGGTGAGATATAAGCGACTATTGGCAGAAAGGTGGGCTAGTGCAAAGATGAGTAGTGGGGGGGTTGAAGAGGGTTGGAATAGTTTTAAAAATGCAGTATTAGAATGTGGGGCAGAAGTTTGTGGTTATAGGAGAGTGGGGGCAGGAGGAAAGAGGAGTGACTGGTGGAATGATGAAGTAAAGGTGTGATAAAAGAGAAAAAGGTAGCTTATGAGAGGTTTTTACAAAGCAGAAGTGTTATAAGAAGAGCAGAGTATATGGAGAGTAAAAGAAAGGTGAAGAGAGTGGTGAGAGAGTGCAAAAGGAGAGCAGATGATAGAGTGGGAGAGGCACTGTCAAGAAATTTTAATGAAAATAAGAAAAAATTTTGGAGTGAGTTAAACAAGTTAAGAAAGTCTAGGGAAAGTATGGATTTGTCAGTTAAAAACAGAGTAGGGGAGTTAGTAGATGGGGAGAGGGAGGTATTAGGTAGATGGCGAGAATATTTTGAGGAACTTTTAAATGTTGAGGAAGAAACAGAGGCAGTAATTTCATGCACTGGTCAGGGAGGTATACCATCTTTTAGGAGTGAAGAAGAGCAGAATGTAAGTGTGGGGGAGGTACGTGAGGCATTACGTAAAATGAAAGGGGGTAAAGCAGCTGAAACTGATGGGATCATGACAGAAATGTTAAAAGCAGGGGGGGATATAGTGTTGGAGTGGTTGGTACTCTTGTTTAATAAATGTATGAAAGAGGGGAAGGTACCTAGGGATTGGCGGAGAGCATGTATAGTCCCTTTATATAAAGGGAAAGGGGACAAAAGAGACTGTAAAAATTATAGAGGAATAAGTTTACTGAGTATACCAGGAAAAGTGTACGGTAGGGTTATAATTGAAAGAATTAGAGGTAAGACAGAATGTAGGATTGCGGATGAGCAAGGAGGTTTCAGAGTGGGTAGGGGATGTGTAGATCAAGTGTTTACATTGAAGCATATATGTGAACAGTATTTAGATAAAGGTAGGGAAGTTTTTATTGCATTTATGGATTTAGAAAAGGCATATGATAGAGTGGATAGAGGAGCAATGTGGCAGATGTTGCAAGTATATGGAATAGGTGGTAAGTTATTAAATGCTGTAAAGAGTTTTTATGAGGATAGTGAGGCTCAGGTTAGGGTGTGTAGAAGAGAGGGAGAATACTTCCCGGTAAAAGTAGGTCTTAGACAGGGATGTGTAATGTCACCATGGTTGTTTAATATATTTATAGATGGGGTTGTAAAGGAAGTAAATGCTAGAGTGTTCGGGAGAGGGGTGGGATTAAATTTTGGGGAATCAAATTCAAAATGGGAATTGACACAGTTACTTTTTGCTGATGATACTATGCTTATGGGAGATTCTAAAGAAAAATTGCAAAGGTTAGTGGATGAGTTTGGGAATGTGTGTAAAGGTAGAAAGTTGAAAGTGAACATAGAAAAGAGTAAGGTGATGAGGGTGTCAAATGATTTAGATAAAGAAAAATTGGATATCAAATCGGGGAGGAGGAGTATGGAAGAAGTGAATGTTTTCAGATACTTGGGAGTTGACGTGTCGGCGGATGGATTTATGAAGGATGAGGTTAATCATAGAATTGATGAGGGAAAAAAGGTGAGTGGTGCGTTGAGGTATTTGGGTGGTAAATGCAGCAGCGAGGAGACGGTTGGAGGCAGTGGAGATGTCCTGTTTAAGGGCAATGTGTGGTGTAAATATTATGCAGAAAATTTGGAGTGTGGAAATTAGGAGAAGGTGTGGAGTTAATAAAAGTATTAGTCAGAGGGCAGAAGAGGGGTTGTTGAGGTGGTTTGGTCATTTAGAGAGAATGGATCAAAGTAGAATGACATGGAAAGCATATAAATCTATAGGGGAAGGAAGGCGGGGTAGGGGTCGTCCTCGAAAGGGTTGGAGAGAGGGGGTAAAGGAGGTTTTGTGGGCAAGGGGCTTGGACTTCCAGCAAGCATGCGTGAGCGTGTTAGATAGGAGTGAATGGAGACAAATGGTACTTGGGACCTGACGATCTGTTGGAGTGTGAGCAGGGTAATATTTAGTGAAGGGATTCAGGGAAACCGGTTATTGAGTCCTGGAAATGGGAAGTACAATGTCTGCACTTTAAAGGAGGGGTTTGGAGGGATATGTTGTGTATCTTTATATGTGTATGCTTCTAAACTGTTGTATTCTGAGCACCTCTGCAAAAACAGTGATAATGTGCAAGTGTGGTGAAAGTGTTGAATGATGATGAAAGTATTTTCTTTTTGGGGATTTTCTTTCTTTTTTGGGTCACCCTGCCTTGGTGGGAGACGGCCGACTTGTTGAAAAAAAAAAAAAAATTATTATTATTAATCATTACTATCATTATTATTATAATTACTGTTATTATATTACTATCATTACTATTATTATTATTACTATTATCATAATAATAATGACAGGAAGCACTAAGCCTATAATGACAACAGTAATTTTTTTTATTTTCAACACACTTGCCGAATGCCAATGGCGCTAAAAAATCGGGAGAGAATAAGAAAGAATGATTAGAGCTCACTTGAACAATTACAGTAAATGTTTTACAAAAAATCATTAGTACAGCATCTTTGAGAGTGTTGATAACACAGTACAGTGGACCCCCGCATAACGATCACCTCTGAATGCGACCAATTATGTAAGTGTATTTATGTAAGTGCGTTTGTACGTGTATGTTTGGGGGGTCTGAAATGGACTAATCTACTTCACAATATTCCTTATGGGAACATTTCGGTCAGTACTGGCACCTGAACATACTTCTGGAGTGAAAAAATATCATTAACCGGGGGTCCACTGTATTCTTTCACTATTACTTTTAATATGCAGTGGAGAGTGTGTGCGAGGGAAGAAGATAACAACTTACCCTCTCATTGCTTTTATTAAAGACTTCGGTAGCCAAGAGCTTAAGGGGTCCACAATAAATTCCAGACTCGGCGTTAAGGAACTGTTCCATGGCATGGTAGGTCTTGCCACTGTTAGTGGGCCCCGCATGGAATATTATCTTACGATTCAATGCTCGTGCTTCACTGTACCTGCGGAGGATATGCATTAATGTACCGAAGGAAAGGCTAATTTTTTTTAAGTGCAGGTGGGCCCTGCTTTGCAGCACTTTGCTTTACGGTGCTTCACTTTACAGCATCACTTTACGGCACTCTTCTTTACGGTGCTTCACTTTACAGCATCACTTTACGGCACTCTTCTTTACGGTGCTTCACTTTACAGCATCACTTTACGGTGCTTCACTTTACAGCATCACTTTACAGCACTCTTCTTTACGGCTACAATAAGATGAATCTTATTGTAGCCAGGTGGCCCAGTGGTTAACGCACTGTCCTGGAGTTTACCACTCACTTGCCATGGGTTCTAACCCCACCTGTACCAGGATAAGGTAATGTAGTTTACTTATAATAAAATATTGTTAGGCAAAAAAAAGGAAGCCACTAGCATTTCAGGTAGACTGATACTAATGCTTATAGACTGATACTAATGCTTATAGACTGATACTAATGCTTATAGACTGATACTAATGCTTATAGACTGATACTAATGCTTATAGACTGATACTAATGCTTATAGACTGATACTAATGCTTATAGACTGATACTAATGCTTATAGACTGATACTAATGCTTATAGACCAATACTAATGCTTATAGACTGATACTAATGCTTATAGACTGATACTAGTGCTTATAGACTGATACTAATGCTTATAGACTGATACTAATGCTTATAGACCAATACTAATGCTTATAGACCAATACTAATGCTTATAGACTGATACTAATGCTTATAGACTAATACTAAAGTTGAAAGACTATTTAATAACTAGACAGATGTTATTTAGTACAAAAAGAGAGATAGATAAATGAACGAAAGTACAATTAACAGTGTGTATTAATATTTCAAACTGATACAGTGATCTCCAGTTAAATGGGATTACTTAATCAGTTTCAAACTGACTCAAAGTATTTATTTATTTAATTTATTTATTTGAACATGATACAGAGAAGTACAAGGAATACAATTTTTAAAGTGCAGCATGCCAAAGTTCCTTGTATGTAGAGCATTATGGGCAGACTTAAAGTTAACTTAAGATTAACTAAGATACAGAACATTATGGGCAGACTTAAAGTTAACTTAAGATTAACTAAGATACGGAACATTATGGGCAGACTTAAAGTTAACTTAAGATTAACTAAGATACAGAACATTATGGGCAGGCTTAAAATTAACTTAAGATTAACTAAGATACAGAACATTATGGGCAGACTTAAAGTTAACTTAAGATTAACTAAGATACAGAACATTATGGTCAACTTAAAGTTAACTTAAGATTAACTAAGATACAGAACATTATGGGCAGACTTAAAGTTAACTTAAGATTAACTAAGATACAGAACATTATGGGCAGACTTAAAGTTAACTTAAGATTAACTAAGATACAGAACATTATGGGCAGGCTTAAAATTAACTTAAGATTAACTAAGATACAGAACATTATGGGCAGACTTAAAGTTAACTTAAGATTAACTAAGATACAGAACATTATGGGCAGACTTAAAATTAACTTAAGATTAACTAAGATACAGAACATTATGGGCAGACTTAAAATTAACTTAAGATTAACTAAGCAATGATATATTCAGTGGTACAAAAATTATTGTAAACAGATAACAATTTAGCACAAATGAGTATTACAAAGACAGGTCATATGGTCATTACTGTGTTGCTGTGTAATCACTAGAATATAATCAGTAGAATGGAGTATTATGTTAGTTATGGAGTTCTGGAGTGTTCTGTTAGTTTATGGAGCGAGTGAAACAGATGGCAAAGATACGGAAGGTTTATTAGTTTCGGCAGAAATATAATATCATTATTATACACAATGGCAATATAAACACAAATGCAGTATAACGTGATCCTTTATTGACTACGTTTCGCCCACACAGTGGGCTTTTTCAAGTCACAAACAGAACTACCTGGGGTGACTTGAAAAAGCCCACTGTGTGGGCGAAACGTAGTCAATAAAGGATCACGTTATACTGCATTTGTGTTTATATTGCCATTGTGTCGGTATTTTATACCATTTATTTCCATTATACACAATACAGTAGGTCCCCAATGTGTTTGTAAGTCGAAGATTTCCTGTATCATGAATATTATACACAATTCAGGAGATCCCCAAAGTGTTTAAGTTGAGGACTTCCTCTACTTTATAATATTTATAGGCCTTATTTTAAATTTAATGGATAAAAAATACCAGAGGCCTAAGAGGCAGGTTAATACAATAAAACGAGTGAAAGAATGTACTCACCAGTTTGGAGGGTTGGTCAAGTCTGATATCTTATAGAGGTCATCCATACACACTAAGTGAGGGAAGATTTTCTGAGCATGTTTCATGAAGCTCGGATACATGTCGTGGATATGACCTGCGCCCTACCACAAAAATTGACCAATATTATGAAAAATCATTCCCTGGCACTCATTTTTTTTTTGTATTTTATTAACACATCGGCCGTCTCCCACCAAGGCAGGGCGGCCCAAAAAAGAAAAACTTTCATCATCATTCACTCCATTACTGTCTTGCCAAAGGCATGCCTACACTACAGATATAAAACTGCAACATTAACACCCCTTCTTCAGATTGCCGGCACTGTACTTCCCATCTCCAGGACTGTAACATCCTCACTCATCCTTCAGAGTGCAGACACTGTACTTCCCATCTCCAGGACTGTAACATCCTCACTCATCCTCCAGAGTACAGAAACTGTACTTCCCATCTCCAGAACTGTAACATCCTCAGTCATTCTTCAGAGTGTTGGCACTGTACTTCCCATCTCTAGGACTGTAACATCCTCACTCAGTCTTCAGAGTGGAGACACTGTACTTCTCATCTCCAGGACTGTAACATCCTCACTCATCCTTCAGAGTACAGACACTGTACTTCCCACCTCCAGAACTGTAACATCTTCACTCATCCTTCAGAGTACAGGTACTGTACTTCCCACCTCCAGAACTGTAACATCCTCACTCATCCTTCAGAGTACAGGTACTGTACTTCCCACCTCCAGAACTGTAACATCTTCACTCATCCTTCAGAGTACAGGTACTGTACTTCCCACCTCCAGAACTGTAACATCCTTACTCATCCTTCAGAGTACAGACACTGTACTTCCCATCTCCAGGACTATAACATCCTCACTCATCCTTCAGACACTGTAGTTCCCATCTCCAGGACTGTAACATCCTCACTCATCCTTCAGAGTACAGGTACTGCACTTCCCATCTCCAGGACTGTAACATCCTCACTCATCCTTCAGACACTGTAGTTCCCATCTCCAGGACTGTAACATCCTCACTCATCCTTCAGAGTACAGACACTGTACTTCCCATCTCCAGGACTATAACATCCTCACTCATCCTTCAGACACTGTAGTTCCCATCTCCAGGACTGTAACATCCTCACTCATCCTTCAGAGTACAGGTACTGCACTTCCCATCTCCAGGACTGTAACATCCTCACTCATCCTTCAGACACTGTAGTTCCATCTCCAGGACTGTAACATCCTCACTCATCCTTCAGAGTAAGGTACTGCACTTCCCATCTCCAGGACTGTAACATCCTCACTCATCCTTCAGACACTGTAGTTCCCATCTCCAGGACTGTAACATCCTCACTCATCCTTCAGAGTACAGGTACTGCACTTCCCATCTCCAGGACTGTAACATCCTCACTCATCCTTCAGACACTGTAGTTCCCATCTCCAGGACTGTAACATCCTCACTCATCCTTCAGACACTGTAGTTCCCATCTCCAGGATTGTAACATCCTCACTCATCCTTCAGATGCTGTAGTTCCCACCTCCAGGACTGTAACTTCCTATCTCCAGGACTCATGTGGCTTAAAATTAAAGCCTTATAAGATTGCCAAAGGAAGCAAAGTGCTAGTAACCCCTTCTCCCGTATAAATTAATAAATTTAAAAAGAAAAACTTTTGTTTTTCCTCTTGGGTCACCGTCTCTTGGTGGGACATGGCCGGTTTGTTGAAAAAACCTGATAAACAATTTTTGCAAATACAGTGGTACCTTGGGATACGAACAGCTGAAAATGCAAACAATTATGTAAGTGTATTTATGTAAGTGTTTTTGTAAGTGTATTTTAGGGGGTCTGAAACAGATTAATCTAATTTACATTATTCCTTATGGGAACAAATTCTTTTGGTATCAGCACTCAAACAGCCTTCCAGAACAAAATAAGTTCGTATCCCAAGGTACCACTGTACTACAATGTTTACATGCACAATTACACAGACACTAATTCAATAAAAATGTCAATATACAGTGTGATCGATTATCCATACTATAGGTGGTTCTTGACTTACGATGGTGTTACATTCCAATGAACCCGTTGTAAGTTGAAAATATTGTAAATCAAATATGAATTTTTTTTTTTTTTTTTTTCAACAAGTCGGCCGTCTCCCACCGAGGCAGGGTGACCCAAAAAAAGAAAGAAAATCCCCAAAAAGAAAATACTTTCATCATCATTCAACACTTTCACCACACTCGCACATTATCACTGTTTTTTGCAGAGGTGCTCAGAATACAACAGTCTAGAAGCATACACATATAAAGATACACAACATATCCCTCCAAACTGCCAATATCCCAAACCCCTCCTTTAAAGTGCAGGCATTGTACTTCCCATTTCCAGGACTCAAGTCCGGCTATATGAAAATAACCGGTTTCCCTGAATCCCTTCACTAAATATTACCCTGCTCACACTCCAACAGATCGTCAGGTCCCAAGTACCATTCGTCTCCATTCACTCCTATCTAACACGCTCACGCACGCTTGCTGGAAGTCCAAGCCCCTTGCCCACAAAACCTCCTTTACCCCTCTCTCCAACCCTTTCGAGGACGACCCCTACCCCACCTTCCTTCCCCTATAGATTTTATATGCTTTCCATGTCATTCTACTTTGATCCATTCTCTCTAAATGACCAAACCACCTCAACAACCCCTCTTCTGCCCTCTGACTAATACTTTTATTAACTCCACACCTTCTCCTAATTTCCACACTCCGAATTTTCTGCATAATATTTACACCACACATTGCCCTTAACAGGACATCTCCACTGCCTCCAACCGTCTCCTCGCTGCTGCATTTACCACCCAAGCTTCACACCCATATAAGAGTGTTGGTACTACTATACTTTCATACATTCCCTTCTTTGCCTCCATAGATAACGTTTTTTGACTCCACATATACCTCAATGCACCACTCACCTTTTTTTCCCTCATCAATTCTTGATTAACCTCATCCTTCATAAATCCATCCGCCGACACGTCAACTCCCAAGTATCTGAAAACATTCACTTCTTCCATACTCCTCCTCCCAATTTGATATCCAATTTTTCTTTATCTAAATCATTTGACACCCTCATCACCTTACTCTTTTCTATGTTCACTTTCAACTTTCTACCTTTACACACACTCCCAAACTCATCCACTAACCTTTGCAATTTTTCTTTAGAATCTCCCATAAGCACAGTATCATCAGCAAAAAGTAACTGTGTCAATTCCCATTTTGAATCGATTCCCCAAAATTTAATCCCACCCCTCTCCCGAACACCCTAGCATTTACTTCCTTTACAACCCCATCTATAAATATATTAAACAACCATGGTGACATTACACATCCCTGTCTAAGACCTACTTTTACCGAGAAGTAGTCTCCCTCTCTTCTACACACCCTAACCTGAGCCTCACTATCCTCATAAAAACTCTTCACAGCATTTAATAACTTACCACCTATTCCATATACTTGCAACATCTGCCACATTGCTCCTCTATCCACTCTATCATATGCCTTTTCTAAATCCATAAATGCAATAAAAACTTCCCTACCTTTATCTAAATACTGTTCACATATATGCTTCAATGTAAACACCTGATCTACACATCCCCTACCCACTCTGAAACCTCCTTGCTCATCCGCAATCCTACATTCTGTCTTACCTCTAATTCTTTCAATTATAACCCTACCGTACACTTTTCCTGGTATACTCAGTAAGCTTATTCCTCTATAATTTTTACAGTCTCTTTTGTCCCCTTTCCCTTTATATAAAGGGACTATACATGCTCTCCGCCAATCCCTAGGTACCTTCCCCTCTTTCATACATTTATTAAACAAAAGTACCAACCACTCCAACACTATATCCCCCCTGCTTTTAACATTTCTGTCATGATCCCATCAGTTCCAGCTGCTTTACCCCTTTCATTTTACGTAATGCCTCACGTACCTCCCCACACTTACATTCTGCTCTTCTTCACTCCTAAAAGATGGTATACCTCCCTGACCAGTGCATGAAATTACTGCCTCTGTTTCTTCCTTAACATTTAAAAGTTCCTCAAAATATTCTCGCCATCTACCCAATACCTCCATCTCCCCATCTACTAACTCCCCTACTCTGTTTTTAACTGACAAATCCATATTTTCCCTAGGCTTTCTTAACTTGTTTAACTCACTCCAAAATTTTTTCTTATTTTCATTAAAATTTCTTGACAGTGCCTCTCCCACTCTATCATCTGCTCTCCTTTTGCACTCTCTCACCACTCTCTTTACCTTTCTTTTACTCTCCATATACTCTGCTCTTCTTATAACACTTCTGCTTTGTAAAAACCTCTCATAAGCTACCTTATATCAATGAATATATATCAATGAATAAATAAATGAGTAATTACTGTAACTATATACCAGTATTGAAAAGTAAATAAATGAATACAAGTTTATCCTACTAATAAATGTACAGGACTGTACAGTACTGAATGTGCATTGTTGTTGCACCATCGGAAAGTCAATATATCGTAAGTTGAACCGTTGTAAAGCAAGGAGCACCTGTGTATGGTATAGATTCGGTTGGATACTTGTCTGTCCAGTTAGACAAGTTGTGGCATTGAAGGAAGATAAAAACTAGTTAATGGGGTTTAAAGGCTGTCAACTACATTATGGCCATTACGGCTGTACGTAACCTTTCCACCCCTAGACAAGAATACTTTAATCCCTAAAATAGGGACATAAGCAATTACAGTGGACCCCCGCTTAACGATCACCTCCAAATGCGACCAATTATGTAAGTGTATTTATGTAAGTGCGTTTGTACGTGTATGTTTGGGAGTCTGAAATGGACTAATCTACTTCACAATATTCCTTATGGGAAAAAATTCGGTCAGTACTGACACCTGAACATACTACTGGAATGAAAAAAGTTCGTTAACCGGGGGTCCACTGTATTTTTTAAACACATTGGTTGTTTCCCACCGAGGCTGGTGATCCCAAGAAAAGAAGAAACACTTTCATTATCATTCACTCCATCACTCTAGCCAGAGAGGCACTGATACTACAGTTCAAAACTACAGATATCCCCACCCATCTTCTTATTTACCCATTTTCAGATTGAGTCTTTGACTGCGACATGGGGTAATTACTGAAATGTTAAGAGAGAAAATACAATGAATATAGGTCGGCCATCACTAATCCAGCATCACTGGGACCTGTAGTGTGCCGGATTAGTGAGTGTGCTGGATTACAGAGTGGTTAGGTTAGAATACACTTAATTAACCTATCAATAGAGACTGTTTCTGCTATATCTTCATCATTTTCATCACAGCTTTTTCCTCTGGCTTGCTGTTGTGGATTTACAACCATCTACACAATTTCTGAGTAAGTATAATGATAAAATTTGAGTAAGTATAATGATGAAATTTGAGTCAGTATAATGATGAAATTTGAGTCAGTATAATGATGAAATTTGAGTCAGTATAATGATAAAATTTGAGTCAGTATAATGATGAAATTTGAGTCAGTATAATGATGAAATTTGAGTCAGTATAATGATGAAATTTGAGTCAGTATAATGATGAAATTTGAGTCAGTATAATGATGAAATTTGAGTCAGTATAATGATGAAATTTGAGTCAGTATAATGATGAAATTTGAGTCAGTATAATGATGAAATTTGAAATTATGCTAGCTAAAATTAGTGCCGGATTACTGATGGAACCGGATAACTGATTGCCGGATTAGTGATGGCCAACTTACGTGTAATCAATTATTACCAGACATCAAGTGAAATAAAGCATAGAGAAATATCCTTCAACCCACCTGGATAATGTCACTGATAATAATGTGAAGTTCAACTGGCAAGGATTCAGAATCCAGACAGAACTTACGAAAGCTTATAAAAGACTGTTGATAGAGGTAATCTGAAAGAGGGAGAAAAGATAATAAATTGTTTAACATCACTCAGTCAGATAAAAACATATACAGCATCTCTTAACGGTGTTCATTGTTGCGGTTGGCTTTCAACTGAGTCGTTGTTCATTAATGTTGGTGCTTTTACCGCTGTTCCAACGTTTTTGCACAACAGCTGTGTGACGGAAGGATGACTGGCGCCATATTTTAAGGTAAGTATTGTATGTACCGTGTATCTATTTCAGTTTTTATCCATCTTTTTATACCTAGTTGTATTTAGCACTTAATATATGATAGTATAAACATGCTATCAGATGCATTCAGTAATGACAAAATGATATTTTCCAGCCACCAGTGATTTTTGCTGACCATACAGGGACAGGAACCTAAAAGTCATACAAACAAGGCCATCCTGTATCTGAAGGAGTAAATCAATTTTTTAATTCACTGGCCGTATCCCACTGAGGTAGTAAATGATTATGGAGGAATAATGAGAAAGAATAAAATATTAAAATCTTCAGTGCCAAGACTGTGATGAGGTGGAAGCTGGCACAGTCAGTTCTCTTACATAGGTCCTCTATTTCGAACAATTTTTTATATATGAAACTAAAAATAGTGTATAGGCTGGCCCTGCTAATACAGCAGGTTAGGTTCTGGGCTACTGTTGTATTGTATTGTAGTGGGTTCACCGGTCTAGTCCCGGCCCGGGTCTTTTCCAGGTGGTGACCTAGCATTGACCCCCTGGGTGGGGGGCTGGGCTACTGATGTAAAGCAAAAATCGCTAGCCTGGTGGCTAACGCTCTCGCTTCACACGGTGAGGGCCTGGGTTCAATTCCCAGCCAGAGTAGAAACATTGGGTGTGTTTCTTTACACCTGTTGTCTATGTTCCCCATCAGTAAAATGGGTACCTGGGTGTTAGTCGACTGGTGTGGGATGCATCCTGGGACACTGACCTAATTTGCCCAAAATACTCAGCATAACAAGTGGCTTTCTGTATAGTAGTATGTCACTGATGTCAGCTATGATCTGTATACCTTGTACATGTACTGGTAGTAAATAAAGATATTATTATTATTATTATTATTATTATTATTATTATTATTATTATTATTATTATAGTCTTTTTTAAATGAATATAAAAGCCTGATAACATGTCTACACTATCATATATTAAGTGAACAATAGAGCTAAGGCTAAGAAATGTATATACAGTACACACATTACTTCTTTTTTTCAACACATCGGCAGTATCCCACCCAGGCAGGGTGGCCCAAAAGGAAAATCGAAAGTTTCTCCTTTTACATTTAGTAATATATACGGGAGAAGGGGTTACTAGCCCCTTGCTCCCGGCATTTTAGTCGCCTCTTACAACACGCATGGCTTACGGAGGAAGAATTCTGTTCCACTTCCCCATGGAGATAAGAGGAAATAAACAAGAACAAGAACTAGTAAGAAAATAGAAGAAAACCCAAAGGGGTGTGTATATATATGCTTGTACATGTATGTGTAGTGTGACCTAAGTGTAAGCAGAAGTAGCAAGACGTACCTGAAATCTTGCATGTTTATGAGACAGAAAAAAAAGACACCAGCAATCCTACCATCGTGTAAAACAATTACAGGCTTCAGTTTTACATTCACTTGGCAGGACGGTAGTACCTCCCTGGGTGGTTGCTGTCTACCAACCTACTACCACAGGATGGTAGTACCTCCCTGGGTGGTTGCTGTCTACCAACCTACTACCTAGAACACATTACTTACCTTAAATTATTTTCACCCTTAGCTTATAGTGAATGGTGAATATATTTATTGTAGCAAGTCTGAATAAATGAAAAATGGCTAGAATTGAAAACCGCTGCATCAGCGAAACACTGAAAAGCAAAGTGCTGTAAAGTGGGACCTGCCAGTGTTGAAAATTATATACCATGTACTATCAAGGCCTTTCCCACACTATGAATTCCAGGTTATTTTCCCCGCCATCGTGATTAACTCACAATTTTGTATAGCCAGAAAGCGTATAACATCATTAACTTTGTATATTACACCCAGATTATAACCATAGCTTTCCTAAGAGCAGAGTCGAAGCGTAGTTGTGTTTCAACCTCTGGAAAAAAATGAATAAATTTACGATGTACTTTTTCAACAGCAAATATGAAAAAACAGGGCCGTGTAGAGGAGGTTTATAAGACAGCTGACTGTAACTGGCTACGGAAGTGTTAGTGTTAATGATGGCATGACTCTCTAGCCTCCACTACTGACATTACTGTACCTGCCACTTGTTACTCTCTATTAGTCCATTATATTCAGTTTACTGGAAATCATAGCCACTTGAAGCTTTACTTTACATTTCACCCACTTGATAAAGTCCCACTGGGTGAAATGTTGTATAATAAAGCTCTACCGTGAGTGCTATGTTGTAAAGCTTCACTTTGGGTTGAACACAGAATAATAAAGCTCCACAGTGGGTGAAACATATAATAGTTACAAAGTATTGCTTTAGTAAAACACAAAGTTACAATAAGTTCCTCAAGTCAGTGTCTGACAGGGTATGTTTGACTTCATGCTACTAGCACCAACAGCCTGATTGACTGGGCAATCAACCAGGCTTAGTGTGGATCTAGGATGCAGGGGTAACAACCCCGGGTTAGGTTAGGTTTGTCAGGACACAGGACAAGTGATGATATGACAGGACAAGTGATGTGATAATACGATGATCCACAGCTGGAGCTTTTGGTCATCTGAGCGAGGCCTTCTGCTGGCCTTTACAAATTATGGTTATGATAACTAATTCAATAGTATATGACCCCTGGAAGCCACAATAGGTAGAAACCACGTAACACTTACTGTCCAATCCATTTTCCTTCGCTAGTTCTTTAACACATTCATTAGCATAGAAACGGTTGAGGGTACGGATGATGTCTTCTTTCTTCAACGGTCCGGCCATTTCCTCTCCTACATTAATTTCATCTTGTCTTGCCTACAAACAAATTTTTAATTTGAATGAAGTAAATATTGCATATAACAATAGGCAGTCTTAAATTATCAACGTAACAAAAATATATTAATTTTTATTATTTATGCTGATCAGCCAGGCTGTGGTGCCTTTCTTGGATTGTGTGCTGCTTGCATATTGTTCTTTTTTAACACATTGGTCGTCTCCCATCAACGTAGGGTGACCTGAAAAAAGAAACACCTTAACCATCATTCTATCACTGTCTTGACAGAGGTGCGTAGATCTCTAACCCCTCCTTTACGAAAATATATATAAAAATATGGTTATAAATGACCATAATTTTTAAAGGGGTGGACCGGTAAGCCAGCGGAAGTCCTCAGCCAGATGACCAAAAGCTCCAAAGGCGGGTCATCATCTGACTAAGACCCGCGTCAGGAAACATTTATCCTGTTTCCTGACAAACCTTACCTAACCTAACCTCCTTTACGTACATTAAAAAAAAAAAATTACGCAACGCAGAGCCTTGGGGCCCCTGGCGACCCTAGATCAACAACCCTTTTTGATCTCAGGTTAAATACATACAAAATGCAAGCAATATATACAAAAATACTGTGTATAAAATAAATATCTGAATATACTTCATCTAATATATTAAATTTGTAGACCTTGTTCAGTACAAGGAGTTATTATTATTATTATATTATTGAGGTTCCAAAATACAAATACAGTGGACCCCCGGTTAACGATATTTTTTCACTCCAGAAGTATGTTCAGGTGCCAGTACTGACCGAATTTGTTCCCATAAGGAATATTGTGAAGTAGATTAGTCCATTTCAGACCCCCAAACATACACGTACAAACGCACTTACATAAATACACTTACATAATTGGTCACATTCAGAGGTAATCGTTATGCGGGGGTCCACTGTAATTTATATTTTTCCTGCAGTATACGGATAATGTAATTTACATGTAATAACATAAGTACAAAAAGGCACTATCATGCAGTGCATTCTGGAAGACATATTACCATCTAGAATTCACTTCTCCATGAATTAATATATATCTTCACTGTATATAACATGAACCTGTTTTTAACACGTCGGCCGTCTCCCACCAAGGCACAGCGATCCAAAATAGAACACTTTCACCATCATTCACACTATCACTGTCTTTCCAGAAGCACACAGATACAACACTTTAGCTGTTACTCCAAACAGCTAGTGTCCCAAACACCTCCTTTAAAATGCAGACATTGTACTTCTCACCTCCAGGACTCAAGTCCAGCTAACTGGTTTCCTTGAATCCATAAAGAAAATATTACCTTGCTCACACTACAACAGCTCGTCAGGTCCCAAAAACCGTTTGTCTCCCTTCACTATCTAACAAGCTTACACATGCCTGCTGCATGTCCAAGCCTCTTGCATACAAAACCTTTACCCCCCTCTCCATCCTCTTCTAGGACAACCCGTACTATGTATTCACCTTGATTGGCACTGGGATAAAAAGATGCGATATATCATCCTTCCTGCCAGCACCTCTACGAGAGAATCTTCTTGCGGAGCAGACCACGGGGAGCCGAGTCTTCCATACCTCACCTAACACTCTGAAATATACAACAAAGCAATATGATAACTGAACCTTTGTGATCGTAAAGTTTGGAAGTACACATGTACCTCACTTTACGATGGTTCCACTTACGACATTTCCACTTTACAATGGTATAAAATTCTTTCTTTTTTTGTACTGTATCGTACAGTAAGTCCTAGACTTACAAATATATTGAGAGTCTTCTGTATTGTGTCTAATATCATTAATATATCATTATTATACATAATTCAGGAGGTCCCCAATATGTTCGTAAGTTGACGACTTACTGTACCGCACATTTATTGATAGGATAAACTTATATTCATTTATTTAATTTTCAATACTGCTATTTAGTCATAATAATTATTTGTTCATTTACTTATTAAGTGACAGTACTTATTTATTTATTTTTTGTATCATATCCATATTTGTCTTGGTATATTTTTAACTTACGACGGATTTACTGGAATGTAACCCCAGAGTAAGTCAAGAACCTGGTGAATAACAGAGAGATAATAACACTGTGATAATATCTGCATCGTTACCTTCCATGATGATGATGATGATGATGATGATGATGATGATGATGATGATGATGATGATGATGATGATGATGATGATGATGATGATGATGATGATGAAGGAGGAGGAGGAGATGATGATGATGATGATGATTGATGATTGATGATGATGATGATGATGATGATGATTGATGATGATGATGATGATGATGATGATGATGATGATGATGATGATGATGATGATGATGATGATTGATGATGATGAATGATAGATGATGATGATGATGATGATGTTGATGATGATGATGATGGATGATGTGATGATGATGATGAGTGATGATGATGATGATGATGGATGATGATGATGATGATGATGATGATGAGATTGATGATGATGATTGATGATGTGATGATGATGATGATGATGATGATGATGATGATGATGATGATGATTGATGATGATGATGATGATGATGATGATGTGATGATGATGATTAGATGAGAGATGATGATGATGAAGTGATGATGATGATGATGATGATTGATGATTGATGATGATGATGATGATTGATGATGATGATGATTGATATGATGATGATGATGATGATATGGATGATTGATGATGGATGATGATGATGATGATGTGATGATGATGATGATGATGATGATGATATGATGATGATGATGATGATGATGATGTGATGATGATTGATGATGATGATGATGATGATGATGATGATGATGGATGATGATGATGATGTGATGATGATGATGATGATGATGATGATGAGAAGATGATGGAGGAGATGATGATGATGGAGGAGAGAAGATGAGGAGGAGATGATGATGATGAGGATGAGAGATGATGAAGTGATGATGATGATGAGGATGGATGAAGATGATGAAGGAGGAGATGATGATGATGGAGGAAGAGAAGAAGGTGAAGGAGGAGATGATGATGATGGAGGAGGAGAAGATGATGAAGGAGGAGATGATGATGATGGAGGAGGATGAGGAGGAGAGATGAAGGAGGGATGAGATGATGGAGGAAGAGAGAGGTGAGGAGGAGATGATGATGATGGAGGAGGAGAGAGGTGAAGGAGGAGATGATGATGATGGAGGAGATGAGGGATGAAGGAGGAGATGATGATGATGGAGGAGGAGAAGATGATGAAGGAGGAGATGATGATGATGAGAGATGGAGAAGAATGATGAAGGAGGAGATGATGATGATGGAGGAGATGATGAAGGTGATGGAGGAGATGATGATGATGGAGGAGGAGAAGAAGTGAAGGAGGAGATGATGATGATGGAGGAGATGATGAATGGATGGAGGAAGATGATGAGGAGGAGAGAGATGATGGAGGAGGAGAGTGTGAGAGGAGGATGATGATGATAGGAGGAGAAGAGTGAAGGAGGAGATGATGATGATGGAGGAGATGAGAGTGATGGAGGAGATGATGATGATGGAGGAGGAGAAGATGAGAGGAGGAGATGATGATGATGGAGGAGATGATGAAGGAGGAGAAGATGAAGGAGGAGTGATGATGAAGGAGGAGATGAGGGAAGAAGGTGAAGGAGGAGATGATGAAGGAGGAGGAGATAGAAGGTGAAGGAGGAGATGATGATGAGGAGGAGATGATGATGATGGAGGAGATGATGATGATGGAGGAGGAGAAGATGATGAAGGAGGAGATGATGATGAAGGAGGAGATGATGAAGGAGGAGAAGATGAAGGAGGAGATGATGATGATGAAGGAAGAGAAGAAGATGAAGGAGGAGATGATGATGATGGAGGAGATGATGATGATGGAGGAGGAGAAGATGATGAAGGAGGAGATGATGATGATGAAGGAGGAGAAGAAGATGAAGGAGGAGAAGATGATGAAGGAGGAGATGATGATGATGAAGGAGGGAGAAGAAGATGAAGGAGGAGATGATGATGATTGATGATGATGTGATGATGATTGATGATGATGAAAATTACTTATTATAATAATGATAACAGTAATAATAATAATAATAATAATTACTATTCTTACAGTAATGATGAAAATAAAAATTACTATTATTAATGATAATAGTTATTATTATTGTTACAGTAATGATAATTAGTATTAATAATTATTATTACAGTAATGATAATTAGTATTAATAATTATTATTACAGTAATGATAATTAGTATTAATAATTATTATTACAGTAATGATAATTAGTATTAATAATTATTATTACAGTAATGATAATTAACAATAATTATTATTACATTAATGACAATAATTACTATTACAATAATGATAATATTGCATTAATGATAATAATCATATTAATGATAATAATGATTATTAGTTACATTCACGAGGAAGCGCTAAACCCGTACGACACACGCCTGGGGGCATGAGTGGCAACCATCTCCGAAGAAACTCAAATTCCTTGGATCAAAAACCCCCTCCAACCAGCATCAACGGTCACAATATCATCACAACCGTGAGCGCTAAACACACACGGGTCACACACGGTATGGGGGTAATTACCTATGGTGGGTATGTGATGCCCAGGATTCAGTAAATAACGTGCCCAGGGGGCCCCTGGGCACGCACCAGCCATACCCCTGTAATATCCTGGGTAAATATAGACTTTTAGACATATTTAAGGCACTTTGGAAGTCTTATTTGGGTTAAATATAGACGTTGTAAGAGGGAAATGGAGGTGATGACTCCCAGGACGACGTTGTTGTTGTTGTTGTTGGTTTTAGGGGTTGATACGGTTCCAGGGTTCGATACCGGGTTCATGTCCGGCATCTTCTTGGTCCGGTACTATCCTGGTGGAACTGAACCTTCTTAGTGGTCCGGTACCATCTTGGTGGTCCGGTACTATCCTGGTGGCCCTGTACCTTCTTAGTGGTCCGGTACTATCCTGGTGGCCCTGTACCTTCTTAGTGGTCCGGTACTATCCTGGTGGCCCTGTACCTTCTTAGTGGTCCGGTACTATCCTGGTGGTCCTGTACCTTCTTAGTGGTCCGGTACTATCCTGGTGGCCCTGTACCTTCTTAGTGGTCCGGTACTATCTTAGTGGTCCGGTACTATCCTGGTGGCTCTGTACCTTCTTGGTGATCCGGTACCATCTTAGTGGTCCGGTACTATCCTGGTGGCCCTGAACCTTCTTAGTGGTCCGGTACTATCCTGGTGGCCCTGTATCTTCTTAGTGATCCGGTACCATCTTAGTGGTCTGGTACTATCCTGGTGGCCCTGAACCTTCTTGGTGGTCCGGTACTATCTTAGTGGTCCGGTACTATCCTGGTGGCCCTGAACCTTCTTAGTGATCCGGTACTATCCTGGTGGCCCTGAACCTTCTTAGTGGTCCGGTACTATCCCGGTGGCTCTGTACCTTCTTGGTGATCCGGTACTATCCTGGTGGCCCTGAACCTTCTTAGTGGTCCGGTACTATCCCGGTGGCCCTGTACCTTCTTGGTGATCCGGTACTATCCCGGTGGCCCTGTACCTTCTTGGTGATCCGGTACTATCCCGGTGGCCCTGTACCTTCTTGGTGATCCGGTACTATCCCGGTGGCCCTGTACCTTCTTGGTGGTCCGTACTATCCTGGTGGCCCTGAACCTTCTTGGTGGTCCATTACCATCTTAGTGGTCCGGTACTATCCTGGTGGCTCTGTACCTTCTTGGTGATCCGGTACTATCCCGGTGGCCCTGTACCTTCTTGGTGGTCCGTACTATCCTGGTGGCCCTGAACCTTCTTGGTGGTCCGTTACCATCTTAGTGGTCCGGTACTATCCTGGTGGCTCTGTACCTTCTTGGTGATCCGGTACTATCCCGGTGGCCCTGTACCTTCTTGGTGATCCGGTACTATCCTGGTGGCCCTGTACCTTCTTGCTGATCCGGTACTATCCTGGTGGCCCTGTACCTTCTTGCTGATCCGGTACTATCCCGGTGGCCCTGTACCTTCTTGCTGATCCGGTACTATCCCGGTGGCCCTGTACCTTCTTGGTGATCCGGTACTATCCCGGTGGCCCTGTACCTTTGTAGATGAATGGTTCACAGAACCGACATGTTGATAAATTAGACACATGTGCAACTCTTGGGTATCTTTATTGAGGAAACGTTTCGCCACACAGTGGCTTCATCAGTCCATACAAAGGAGAATCTTGAAGAACAGGAGGAGAATGAGGTAATCAGTCCCTCAACCTTGAGACGATGTGGTCAGTCCATCAATCTTGAATAGAATACGGCATACGTGCGGAGAAGCAGCTTATAAACCGTAGGCAGGAGAGGTGCAGCAGACATAGGTGGTGTCACATTTGTTCAATGTGGAAGTAGGAACCTCTCCTGCCTACGGTTTATAAACTCCTTCTCCGCACGTATGCTGTATTCTATTCAAGATTGATGGACTGACCACATCGACTCAAGGTTGAGGGACTGATTACCTCATTCTCCTCCTGTTCTTCAAGATTCTCCTTTGTATGGACTGATGAAGCCACTGTGTGGCGAAACGTTTCCTCAATAAAGATACCCAAGAGTTGCACATGTGTCTAATTTATCGGCCCTGTACCTTCTTGGTGGTCCGGTACTGTCTTGTCGATCTGAAGCCATCTTGGTGGTCCGGTGCTACCCTGATGGCCCTGTATCTTCTTGGTGGTCCGATACTATCCCGGTGGTCCTGAACCTTCTTGATGGTCCGGTACCATCTTAGTGGTCCGGTATTATCCTGGTGGCCCTGAACCTTCTTGGTGATCCAGTACCATCTTAGTGGTCCGGTACTATCCTGGTGGCCCTGAACCTTCTTGGTGATCCGGTACCATCTTAGTGGTCCGGTATTATCCTGGTGGCCCTGAACCTTCTTGGTGATCCGGTACATCTTAGTGGTCCGGTACTATCCTGGTGGCCCTGTACCTTCTTGGTGATCCGGTACCGTCTTAGTGGTCCGGTATTATCCTGGTGGCCCTGAACCTTCTTGGTGATCCGGTACCATCTTAGTGGTCCAGTATTATCCTGGTGGCCCTGAACCTTCTTGGTGATCCGGTACCATCTTAGTCGTCCGGTACTATCCCGGTGGCCCTGAACCTTCTTGGTGGTCCGGTACCATCTTAGTGGTCCAGTACTATCCTGGTTGCCCTGTACCTTCTTGGAAGTTCGATACCATCTTTGTATGGTTTCATCTTGTCGATCTGAAGTCATCTTGGTGGTCTGGTGCTATCTTGGTGGTCCAGTACCTTCTTGGTGGTCCGGTACTATCTTGTCGATCCGAAGCCATCTTGGTGGTCTGTTGCTCTCCTGGTGGCCCTGTACCTTCTTGGTGGTCCAGTATCATATTAGTGCTCCGGTACCATCTAAGAGGTCCGGTACCATCTTGGTACGACACCATCTTGTCGATCTGAAACCATCTTGGTGGTTTGGTACTATCTTGGTGGTCCAGCACCTTTTTGGTGGTTCGGTACCATCTTGGGTGACCGGTATCATCATGGTACGGTTCCATTTTGTCGATCTGTAGCCATCTTGGTGGTCCGGTACTATCCTGGTGGCCCTGTACCTTCTTAGGTGTCCGGTACCACCTTAGTGGTCCGATACCATCTTGGTCCGGTACCATCTTAGTGGTCCGGTACCGTCTTAGTGGTCCGATACATCTTGGAACGGTTCCATCTTGTCGATCTGAAGCCATTTTGTTTGTCCGAAATCATCCTAGTGGTCCGAAGTCATCTTGTCGGTCTGAACTCATCTTATCAGCTTGAAACCAGTTAGAAGCACGTAGAACAGTACTGAAAGAAGCCAGCAGGTCCGCTGTCCGTCAAAATGAATCCCATTAACCATGGCGCCCCGTGGCCTGGTGGCTAAAGTTCTGGCTTCACACGCTGAGTGTCCGGGTTCGATTCCCGGCGAAGGTAGAAATGTTGGGCGTATTTTTTTTACACCGGTTGTCTATGTTCACCATCAGTAAAATAGGTTCCTGGGTGTTAGTGGGCTGGTGTGGGTGGCATCCTGGGGGGTTAGTGGACTGTTGTGGGTGGCATTCTGGCAGAGGCGTCGCTAGAGATGGTGTCACCCCCATGGGGTTGCTAAACTCCAGTTATGTCACTGCTACATGACAGTTATGTCACTGCTACATGACCAGTTATGTCACTGCTACATGACCAGTTATGTCACTGCTACATGACCAGTGACAAATATCAGAGAAACACTAGTTCCGATCTGACCTTGAGTACATGTAACAACTAAGTGAATCTGATCTTACATATGACCTTGAGTACATGTAACAACTAAGTGAATCTGATCTTACATATGACCTTGAAAGAAACCCAAAGTATTTCTTCTCCTATGCCAAATCAAAGTCGAGAACAACATCCAGTATTGGGCCCCTACTTAAACAAGATGGGTCCTACACAGATGACAGCAAGGAAATGAGTGAGCTACTCAAGTCCCAATATGACTCAGTTTTTAGCAAGCCGCTAACCAGACTGAGAGTCGAAGATCAAAATGAATTTTTTATGAGAGAGCCACAAAATTTGATTAACACAAGCCTATCCGATGTTATCCTGACGCCAAATGACTTCGAACAGGCGATAAATGACATGCCCATGCACTCTCCCCCAGGGCCGGGGCTCATGGAACTCTGTGTTCATCAAGAACTGCAAGAAGCCCCTATCACGAGCCTTTTCCATCCTATGGAGAGGGAGCATGGACACGGGGGTCGTCCCACAGTTACTAAAAACAACAGACATAGCCCCACTCCACAAAAGGGGCAGTAAAGCAACAGCAAAGAACTACAGACCGATAGCACTAACATCCCATATCAAAAAAATTTTTGAAAGGGTCCTAAGAAGAAAGATAAACCCATTTAGAAACCCATCAGTTACACAACCCGGGCAACATGGGTTAGAACAGGTCGCTCCTGTCTGTCTCAACTACTGGATCACTACGACAAGGTCCTAAATGCACTAGAAGATAAAAAGAATGCAGATGTAATATATACAGACTTTGCAAAAGCCTTCGACAAGTGTGACCATGGCGTAATAGCGCACAAATGCGTGCTAAAGGATAACAGGAAAAGTCGGTCGATGGATCTATAATTTCCTCACTAACAGAACACAGAGAGTAGTCGTCAACAGAGTAAAGTCCGAGGCAGCTACGGTGAAAAGCTCTGTTCCACAAGGTACAGTACTAGCTCCCATCTTGTTCCTCATCCTCATATCCGACATAGACAAGGATGTCAGCCACAGCACCGTGTCTTCCTTTGCAGATGACACCCGAATCTGCATGACAGTGTCTTCCATTGCAGACACTGCAAGGCTCCAGGCGGACATCAACCAAATCTTTCAGTGGGCTGCAGAAAACAATATGAAGTTCAACGATGAGAAATTTCAATTACTCAGATACGGTAAACGCGAGGAAATTTTTAATCTTCATCAGAGTACAAAACAAATTCTGGCCACAAAATAGAGCGAAACCCCCAACGTCAAAGACCTGGGAGTGTTTCATGTCGGAGGATCTCACCTTCAAGGACCATAACATTGTATCAATCGCATCTGCTAGAAAAATGACAGGATGGATAATGAGAACCTTCAAAACTAGGGAGGCCAAGCCCATGATGACACTCTTCAGGTAAACTTTTTCTATCTAGGCTGGAATATTGCTGCCACACTAACAGCACCTTTCAGAGGATGAAATTGCCGACCTAGAAATGTACAGAGAACTTTCACGGCGCGCATAACGGAGAAAAACACCTCAATTACTGGAGGCTTGAGG